GTTATGGGATGGATTTCGTGCCCTTTCTGTGCCTCAGGCTCTCTATAAGTGCCTAAAGACGAGGCAGTTGCCTTCTAACTTTTCCCACAGGAGACTGCTGTCTTGATTTGGACCTTGGAATGGAGAGTGGAAGCATACCTGACAACAGGATAACTGCCTCATCTCAGATCTCCCAAGCCAAGAACGGGCGATTGAACAGAAAAGGATCTTGGTGTGCGTCCACAAGTGATAACAATCCCTACCTGGAAATTGATTTACAGACATTTCATATCATATGCGCCGTGTATACCCAGGGGGATTCCCTAGCAGACAATTGGGTGAAGACATACAGTCTACAGATATCAACCGATGGAACTTTTTGGACAAATTACAACGAGTTTGGAAAAGTTAAGGTAAACTGCATACCATTATTTTCTGTTAGCAGCTCACTTTTCAGGGAAGTACTTTTAACTCTTTTATTCCCAAAACTGAAATCTAGGTCAAACAAAAAAAATGTAAACTGCTGAAAAACAAATAGTGCAATGAGAAAGCACTGCCAAAGAGGTTTCATTTCAACGATCACGCTATTTTTCTATCATTACATTGATTTTAGATCTTTTCGGGAAAAGACCGTTGACAGAGACAGAGAAAATGGACATTATCAATTAAGGGTTGTTAACGAAATGGCTGCGATTTGTAGCAAAAAGAAGTCATAACAAGTTTTGTATGAGAACCGAGCTGTACGGAGTGAAGCAAAAGTCAGGTAAATCAGTTCTGACTTTAAAGTGAAACCATTTCTCTGTTTCCTTGTATTGGTTTTGTTTATATAAAAGAAACGACGCTAACGAGCAACCTTGTACCAAGGGTTTTCTACTTATTTTCCGGGGGGGGAGTAGAAGAGAAACCTGTGAACAAGGTTCGCTTAAGCGACGAGAATGCAACGTCATGAATAGCAACCGTGAACTTTGATGTTTCGCTTGATGGAACTTTTGCTTGTCAAAACGAAAACCTTGTTTTAGCTCCTATAGTATGACGTCATCTACTCATAGTACAGTAAGAAAGAGAAGATCCACTACCGGTTTGAAGTCAACGTTATCCTCGTTTTAAAAGAATAGTCTTATCCATCAACGAGTTTCAGGATTCTGAGGTGAATCAGAGACTGAGTCGTTCTAACTCGGGGTTTTGTCACTGATAGAACAAAGTCAAATAACCGAAGTTTAAGGTGGCTCGACTGGATTTTTTTGAGGGGATACCTCCCAAGTGTGAGCATTAACTACGTCGCCACGAGTAAAGATATGGGAAAAAAATTACCACAACTGTATTATATAAAGATGAAAATTTCTTTTGATCTGGGTTTTATTGCAATCGGAGTCGCCATGGCAACGTAACGACGCCATTACGTTTTTTATTTATCTTCGTGTTTCTCTTTACCAAGAGTTTTTTTAAGAAATCGCTTGAGGAAGTTTGTACCTGCCATAATTGCCTCAGTTATGGCAAAGTTTGAACAAATTCTATGAGAGCGTTTTCGAGATATTTTGAATCGAAGTTTTAATCATCATAAGAACAGTGAAATAGCATGCTATCCACACAATTGGCTAATTTTTTAAGGAAATGATAACCTTTGGAAACGCAGCTTCATCTTATGGTGGTTTGATTCCATTGAAAACTGCGTACAGAAAAAAGAGGAGAATTGCTCTGGGCGATCGCGAGTAAGAAGAATTCTATTAGCTTGCATTCAACTGCTTTTGTTACAGTTTTTGCACGTAATTTGGTCGATGCCTACAATTTTCGCATTTTTCAAAAAACCGCTCGATAAATTTTTTTATAAATTTAACAATCTCGAGATCAATTGCCAATAAATATACCCTGCAAGTTTCAAGAACATTGAAAACAGAGAAGGCTTTCAAATAGGGCCTCAAATATAACAAATTTTCCCCCCAGGTTTTGTGTTTACAAGTGAGCGTCCTCATTATTCACTGGCATTGTTTCCAAGTTTCATATGCACGTGCACATTTAGCAAAAAGAAATAAATTTGCATCAAAAAGAACTCTCGATTACTTTCGGAAGAAATATCCGGAATATGCTAATGATTGGCTTGTGTCACAGATAGCAGTGAGAGCCGAGACGGTGAACGTCACGGCTCATCGTTTAGGATGCAATACTTTAATAGTTATGTTACTCGGGCTCGGGTTATAACGTCACAGAAACTCTTACAAAGAGTTGCTGTGATGTTATAATATATCACTAATTTCTTTACCCGGTGATTTAACCGAGGGTCCTTTTTGATGCAAATTTTTATCTTTTTGCTAAATGGGCACGTGCATATGAAACTTGGAAACAATGCCAGTGAATAATGAGGACGCTCACTTGTAAACACAAAATCTGGGGGGAAAATTGGTTATATTCGAGGCCTTATTTAAAAGCCTTCTCTGTTTTCAATGTTCTTAAAACTTGCAGGGTATATTTATAGACGATTGATCTCGGGATTGCAAAATTTATAAAAAAAATTATCGAGCGGTTTTTTGAAAAATGCGAAATTTGTAGGCATGGACCAAATTACGTGCAAAAACTGTAACAAAAGCAGCTGAATGCAAGTTACTAAAATTCTTCTTACTCGCGATCGCCCGGAGCAATTCTCCTCTTTTTTCTGTACGCAGTTTTCATTGAAATCAAACCACTATAAGATGAAGCCGCGTTTCCAAAGCTTATTATTTTCTTAAAAATTTAGCTTATTGTGTGGATAGCATGCTATTTCACTGTTTTTATGATGCTTAAAACTTCGTTTCAAAATATCTCGAAAACGCTCTCATAGAATTTGTTCAAACTTTGCCATAATTGAGGCAATCATGGAAGGTACAAACTCCCTTAAGCGATTTCTTAAAAAAACTCTTGGTACAGAGAAACACAAAGGTAAATAAAAAACGTAATGGCGTCGTTACGTTGCCATGGCGACTCCGATTGCAATAAAACCCAGATCAAAAGAAATTTTCATCTTTATATAATACAGTTGTGGTAATCTTTTTTCCATATCTTTACTCATGGCGACGTAGTTAATGCTCAAACTTGGGAGGTATCCCCCCCAAAAAATCCAGTCGAGCCACCTTAACTTAGACTACTGCTCAAGACAATTGTTAAATCTCCGTATCTCTTCATGAATGAGCAATTTCAAGCAGAAATGATGTTCTTGTTTGCTCTATAGGCCTTGTTTACTTTCAATGAAATCAAATCCTTTACAATTACCTGATAACGCATCTTTCGACAAACATGACGTTGAGATCATTTTCAGATTGGGTTAACCCCGCTAAAGAAATGATTTCCAAAGTCAAATGAATTCTAAGAAGACTGTCAAATTTGGCATACAAGTGCTATAACGATATAATGTTCCTGAGCCACTTCTAAGAAATCTTTTACTTAAAAGGTTATATTTATGATTTTGAAGAAAATTTACTTTAGCGTTACTAGAGCCTTAGACTGGCTGAGTCTCTTAAAAATTTAGTTTAAGCTTCAGCTCTTTGGAATTCTCTTGGCAACAACACAAAAGCATCTAAGAATGTCTCGGCTAAATTTAAGAGTGCAGTTAAGGCCAGTTTGCATTTTGAGTTATTTTACCAGTAGCCTTGCAGTTCTTCAGAACCTCTAATTTAATAGGACCTCTACGAGCCAAAGTTCTTTCCTTTTTAGGGCTAGGTTCTGTTGTTAATTCATTGTTTTCCCAACTAATCCCGTAATCCGAGAGCTGCAAGATCGACCTATTTTTGACTGTGTATATACAAGGAATTTTAGGATTATTTTTAGGATTTTAGCTTTTGTTATGAATGTAATATATTATTATAAATTCTTAGGTTTTGATATAAATCTAACTATAGATAATTTAAAAGTAAGAATTCTTAGCTTTTCAATGGTGTTAAATATTTCTATAATTATCACATCAGCTAAGCTGTAATTTTATCGCGTTTAAATAAATGTTATTATAATTACTATTATTGTTATTTTTATTAGTAGTAGTAGCAGTAGTAGTAATAGTAGTACCTCGATAACGAGAAATCTTTGTTTCTGGAAACGACGAAAACGTCAGGCTTTAGCGCAGAAACAAGGAAATTCAGATTGAGCACGTTTTCTGCAGCCCTAACGCGAAAAAAGTACGGTTAACATCACTGATACCTCGTGCGGACTGATCAAACCAATATATCATTCCAATAACAAAAATTGGGAGAAATTTATGACCACATTTGTAAAAATTTCACTGAACCATGCCAAAGGAGCTACGACGGGCTCAACATCGGTACCCCTTTAAGATTATAACTTGTAAATTAACTGTGAATTATTTTATCATTTTCAGTTTTTCCCAGTCTCTCGGGGGCGTACACGCTTCTTAGAAAATTTGAAAACGTGAGACATTGTCCCAGAAACAAGGAAACGCGAGGCTCACGCGCGTTTCCCCTTTCCTGAGCGCTAAAAACATGCGGAAACATTATCTTTGTTTTTCCAAAAAGCGAAAGAAGGTTTTGATTTCATTGAGAAACATTTGCTTCCGCATGAATGTATTCCGTTTTGCTCACCAAGGAAACCATGTTAACAAGATTCCAAGTTGCACGGGTTGCACTTATCAACCGATCTAATTCTCCTACAATACTCTCCATTATCGGCGTCGTTCACTTTGTCTACTCTCTCTTGGGTCTTCTAGTCATGTATTCTTGAGAATATAGCGTTTTCAATCACGTGGCAAGCATCAATGCAAATTCATCTCGGTCCATAAAAACACACTCACAAAAAAGTTCTTGGCCAATGGCCAACTATCTTGACCTCACCCTCTCCTTGGAGGCTTGAAGCCTATAATGTTCAATGTTAAACTAGTGCTTATTCTCTTCAACTGTTACGGTTTCATCTTGAAAATATTATGTTACGTTTCACTTGCAATTCTCAGATGGACATTCAACAAGCTGTCTTTTACCCTCTACGCACATGAAATTTTGTATATAATATCATAGGTGACGAATTACTCCTTAATTTTGGCGCGAAATTTCAGCGTTGATTTGTAATTTCACATGTGAAATTACCAAATTGCCATGGCAACCTGCCGTACGTCTCGAAAACCAGAACACACGAAAGAGCACATCAAGAAGGATTCTTAGAGGTATGTTGTGGAAAAATTCTGAAAACTTAAGCCACGTTTTAGCTCTAAACGTTTGAGAGAGTGGAGTTCACGATCGATCGATACGATCCGGGATAAACAAGTCAAAAATCCTCGATTGCTAACGTAATTCGTCACCCATGATATTAATAGGTAATCAAATGGTATACTCGTGAAATTAGGGAATAATTTCACCTGCGTTTTGTCCAAATCCTAATAATTTCCCTAATAAGGATTTGGACAAAACGCGCGTGAAATTATTCCCTAATTTCACTCGTCACCATTTGATTACACATACTAATTTGAAACTCGCCAAGAGGCTTCGCTCGGGGATTACACGAATTTACTCAGAATGTGTGCCTTTTGTTCTAATGCAATTACCTCTTGAATAATAACAACAATAGATTATTCCACTAACAGAAAATGGAGAGAAATCTATTACCACAGTTTGAGGAAATTTTACTAAATGACTAAGCCGTGCCAAAGGGGCTACAGCGGCCTGAACATAGGTACCCCTTTATTTAATTATTATTAATACTGTAACTTTAGCTACTAATCAGTAAAAAGCCGGAAAGAGCGTTTCACTAGAAGGACAACTCGTATTTTTTGACATTTAAACAAATCTGAGCAAAAGCTAAAATAACAACTCGTAATCGTT